CAGAACAAGCTGAACCACGGACTTTTGCTCTGCAGCGTGGCCACTGCAATGAGGCACAAAATAATGCACCAGTTAATTCTCTAGCTGTCAAGGAAGATGCTAGTCAGAAAGTCGGCCCCTGCCAGGTTTCAATGCCTCAGTGAACCAGATCCAAGCCTACCATTTGTTTAAATGTTCCTGCTGCAAACTAGGGGGATTACCTAGCACGCACAGGCATGCGAGTTCATCCTCGTGAGTTCTGGCTGACTGTGATGTCCGAATGGGGCCTCTATTTCAAGTTGTTCTTCCTACAACTCAGTATATGCTTCTCAACGTATAAAAGAAAAAGCCCTCCTACTCTGCAGCAAGAGGCAGCCAGCCAGCCAGTCGCTGCTTTCTAGCAGCCGTGCTAAATGTGCAGGCGTTCACTGTTCTAACACAGTGATGAGGAGCTGAAAGCCACAGAGATCTTCCTAGCTGTCCAAAATGTAAGTCATCGAGGTGAGACTCAGGGAGGCAGCCACCCGCTCACTCCCTTCCCGACAGCAATGTCAATTCCTCCTAATTTCCCACAGTTGAGAGCCAAACAACCTAGTTACATCTCTGCAGCTTTCATTTCACTTTACTTCCAAAATCTGTTACTTCATTTTAACTCTGTACCACCATCATTCCTTCTCCTGCAGAAGGGAATAAATCTTAGCAGAACCTGGAAAGGAACTAGTATTATAATGCCAACGCTCCTCAGTAACAATACAGTTTCAATTTTGAAAAACAAGTTCTTTGCTACCTTGGGGTTTTGTGGAGGGTGGGGTGGGCTAATTAAAACAGTTACCTCAAAAGAGAACATCAGTGTGCTGGCCGCCACTGGCCCTGTGGCACAAAACAGTCACCTCCCGTCCCTCCATCACTCACTTAACCTCCACAACAGAATAAAAATGCAAGCCAACATTTAAATCATGCAATGTTCCTTTTTTTCCCCCATTTACTGAGGCCCCATTCTAAGAACAGAAATAATTAGTCGTTAGCTATACTGCAAAAGCAATAAAATTACCCAAGTACTGGAATCTGGAAGGAGTAAACTGGGGGAAAGGAAAACCCGTAAGCCCCAGCAGCAACAGAAAGTTGGTTTAATTTGTAGAGGGACAAGCATCCTCTTTAGGCTGTGATCTGGAAACTGTTGGGTGAGCAAACTTGTGCCGTGTTCAGCTGTTTGAGAGTCTGGTAGAAGGATTACCAGGTGTAAAGGGCTCACTGTGGCCGCCAGGTAACTTCAAGGAAGAAAACTCTACTCTTAAGATGGGTGCCTCTCTTGACAAGGGTCTGTTGCGAAACCATTTTCATCTATATACTGTCACAAAAGCCCAACTTTAACCTGCTACCCTACATGAATTCCCAGATAGTGTCTGTGGTTAGCCTGCCTATTTCCACCTCATCCGGATTGCACAACAGCGTCCTTACTTTGACAGCAGATCCCTTACCAGACTCGTGAACGCATTGACAATCCCAAGCATAGATTACTCCAATGCACTCTACACAGGGCTGCCCGAGAATGATCCATAAACTTCAACAGGTCCAGAATGTGGCAGCGTTAATAAGAACCATTCTATCTCCCCCATCTTGGCTGCCTTGCAAGGTTTACCGGTCGGTTTCCGTATCAGCTTCAAGGTGACAATCTTGACCTATAAAGCCCTAAATGTTTTGGGATCTCGGTACGCGGCAGGCGGCCTGCTTCCAACAGGCGGGGAGAACTGAGGGCGCTCACCCCCAAGGGAGGTCCAAAGGGAGAGAGCAAGGAACCAGCCCTTTTAAGCTGTTGCATCCCATCTATGAATTGCCACCTGAAATCCATCCGGCCCCCTGTCTATTGTCTTTCAAGAAGTCTCTTAAAACATTTCCATTCTGCCAGGCTTTTCATACCTTGCTAGCCGAAGACCTGCTGAGAGCACCAGCCTATTACAACTAACTAACCAATGCCCATTTTAATGTGCTTTTAATATACAATAATATGATGGTTTAATGTTACTGCACTGATTATATAAGCCGCCTAGAGTGGCCTTTTAGGCCAGATGGGTGGGGTATAAATAAAATAAAACAAAATAAAATAAATAAATAAATAAGTCAAATCCACCCTGGTGGTGAGGTTAACTCATCTCCAAGCCCATAATTCCCTTATCCTCACAGGAGAGTTATTGCTCTGAACCACCCAGAGTGGCCACTGGTCAGATGGGGGGGGTTATAGAAACGGAATAAACAATAATATTAAATAACAATCATGGATGCTATCAAGGAGAGCTATATGTCCTCGTGTCCCAGCAGTCAAATGCTCGTTCAGTTCTTCTGTTTCACAGAAGGCAGAGTTTGCTTTCCATTGCTGGAACGAGAGAGAGAAAAGCTTTCCAGACAGGTCACTCCCCTTGCTGGACCAGAGAAAGAGCAAAGCTTGGATTACTAAATTAGTCTTTAATGCGTATGACCTGATTTGACCTAAAAGTTGGGTCACACCTGCGGTGCTTGAGTTTAAGAAAAAACTTACAGGGAGAAAAAAAGAGACCCATTTAAATAACTTTATATACATTAAAATTAAATATTTGAGGATCTATGAGCAGGCCACAAGTAGCAGTGAGGGATTAATGACCGGTCCTAAGCAATACACAAAATGTCATCTTCATGGCTATTTTCCACACACTGTCTAGAAGGATTCCTGTTTTATGGCTTTTTATCTCAATCAATTTCCAGTCTCTGGAGCCATGCCTTGCACTCCCCCATGAGTCAGTCTGCAGCTTAAAAAAACCCACAAGTCTTCAGTTGCAAACAGCAAAGAAATCTGTATGTATGATTAGTGATGACTTCTTCTTAAAAAAAAAAGAAAAGGAAAGAGCCTTTAAAAAACAAATGAAACAGATGGAAACCATTATCAACTAGCTGAAACGGAGCACACCGATATACCATTCCCAGTTCAAAACAACGCCCATAATGATCCGCAGAAAATTGTATTGACCTGCTTATAATTCCACCTTACGTTCTCAAAGGACATAGGCATGGTTTTCATTGTTCTTACTTTGCAATTTCACAGAGATTCCATCCTCCCTCTGGGGAGATGTTTCGATTTTCCACTGTTTTTGGTTTGTTTGCCTCAGTCCTTTCCCTCTCAGAGAGGAATATGTAGGTATGATACATATCGCAAGATTCAGTCATTTCATACCACCAGCCTGCGGATCACCCATCCCAACTTTAACATTGCTGCTCCTCACAAATTTCTCTTAAAGCACTATTTACAGCGTAACAATGGAAACAGTCAAAGGTTTAAGCCTAAACAGTTGGAATGTACGAAATCGAAAACCTATTGTTTAGCATAGTAAGCTGCAACTACAGCAGACCCGCTAAATCTCCATAAATTCCAACTAGTTCAACTGGGTTACTCTAGTTCTGAATAACTTTGCTAAGCAACAGGATTTCAGCCACTGTGTCAGAGCGCTGGCCCCTTGACCTGAATAGTGGCTACTTTAACAGTAACTTTTCAGACAGAGTTTCAAACAAAATTATTTTCCAGTTGCCAAGGATTAAAGATGGAAACTTCTGCCAGAAAAGGATGCCTTCCACCTGTTACCAGCAGTCCTTCATTGTGATAGAAACACAAAAGAACTACAGTACGTATATTCAAGAACTATTAGCTGTTTAGCATTTTATTGAAGGTACCCAAGAAATGCAAATACAGCAGGCGCCCCCCATCTGCAGGATCAGTATCTGTGGATTCACTTATCTGCTGCCTGAAAATATTAAATAAAAAAACCAGAAATATGTATTTATATATATATTTCCACAGTGTATTTACCAGAAGTGCCCCCCCCAGATACCATGTAACCATAGTTGAACCAACAGAGATGCTCTTTGCCCATTTCTAGTACAGTGGTGCACAACGATGGTAATTGGTTCCAAAAAATTCATCGCTGTGTGAAACATCGTTCTGCGAAACACCATTTCCCATAGAGATGCATTGAAAACCGGTTAATCCGTTCCAATTGGAATGGATTGCCATCGTTCAGTGCAATTCCCCATAGGAAACATCGTTGAGTGAAACAATGTTTCCTATATTGGAATGTATTGAAGCCGACTCAATACATTTCAATGGCATTCCGATGTCTCTTTTCCCTCATTTAAAAGTGCCTTAAACTGTTAGGAAACTGTTTTAAATGCTTGGCATCGATAGTCCAGCTTGTGAAAGGCATGCAAACTTAATTTGGTGTTGTTCTGAGTCTTCGTTCATTTTTGCTGATTTTTTGTTTTCTCCATTGCAGTTTAAGACACTTTTAAATGAGGGGATAGGGACATCGTTATGTGAAAATCCCCCATAGGAAACATCGCTGTGTGAGGCAGCAACTTGATCAGAAAAAGACATCGTTATGTGAATTCATCGTTGTGTGAGGCACTCGTTGTGCGAGGCACCACTGTACAATGTTTCAGCAGTATAACCCCATTTATTATTTTTGCTGCAACGGACTAGTGGTCAACCTATACATTACAGGTAATCCATCATTAGGAGAGTTAATTCCTTCGGAGCTGAAGAGCATGTGATTATCACAGCAGGAGAATTTTTACATTTCTCACAGTTTGCTAATTAGCTTGCTTTGTTTTATAATTGGTCTTCTGGATGTAAACACAGCTTTCTTCACAAACACAACTGTTCAACTGCAAAGAACTGTTGGAACTGCATCTTCAGAATATGAACAAGTTTCAGCTTTTAGGGACAGGCTACCTATAACATACAATTTGGCCCCAAGAGACAAGTGGCATCTTAGAGACTAATGCATTTTCTTTGACATAAACTTTCATGGGCTACAACCCAAGAAAGGTTATTTTAAATAAAACGTATTAGCTTTTAAGGCGCCACCAAGACTCTTTGTTTCCAGTACAGAAAACTGAAAAGAATGAAATGCAAGCAAGAGAAGCAGCCACATTCTCCCCAAAGGAAAATCCATCTTGTATGGGAATAGAAATACATTTTTGCCCCAGAGCTAACATACCTGTGCAATGTTTTTGTTGAGAAGATAGACGCCATAGTCAAACTGCAGTTTCTCTCCTCCTTTTGGATACAATGGAAATCTAAAATAGAACATGGAAATATAAGCACACTTCACTAAACAACCAATTTCGGAAAGCCATTTCTTCTGTCACTTGTAAAACCTACCTCCTCCAACAATGAAGACTGTACAAACCAACCCTTCTCTACAATATTATTCTACAGCAACCATGTTACATTCCTATTCAGTTCTGAGGTGCTGTTACTGGGTAGGTCGGTACCCAGTACATTAAACTCAATTATGTTATTTGCATTCTATTAACACACCATTAAATTCCTAGCAAAAAAAGGACTTAGTACCAAAGCTCAAAGATGGAGCTGTGAAAATTACCAGCAAATGTCACTTCAGTTCTAAGTAGACAGAGTGTTATACTAGCTCAGCCCCCAAGCCCTTATCAGCAAGAATTTTGTGATGGGCTCAACGCAGTGGTAGACATATACTTGTGTAAAAACATACGTTTCCACTGCAGTAGTCCCCTTGAACACAAGGCTGTGTTCAAGGGGACTAGTAAACATTCTGGAGCTGGCTTCCCGGTGCCCCTAGGGTGGAGGGAAAAGGGCAGGAAGTTCCATCATAGATGCAAACATCTCCCTGGATTCAGGATGATAGACTATCCTATTTGGGATGATTGTGAAGAGATACTACTATTATGGTTATAGAAATTATTCTGTTTGCAGAAGTTGAATTGGTTGTGCCAGATCTGGCATCTTATCTGCAAGAATCTGTTTTGTTTGCTTGTTTACTCCACTTTTTTGTGACATCTCATATAGATTGTGACCAGAATCCTGTTGCACTGTGGTGCTGCATAAGACTAATCATACAAGCAGTTGGAGGAATGTCACCAGCTGTGTCTGTGTGCATTCAGTAATCCTGTGGTTGCACAACTGATAGATAATAGGGTTGGATATGCAACCACTAGCCAGTAAATTAAAAAAAAAACCTGCTTGCATGATTTCCTGTGTTTGTGAGATCAAATCAGCTGTCTGTCAGATATACAATGGTGCCCCGCATGACGATGACAATCCGTTACATAGAAATCACTGTTTAGCGAAAACATTGTCATGCAAAATGCGATTCCCCATTGGAATGCACTGAAACCTATTTAATGTGTTCCAATGGGAAAAATAGTCGTCGTCCAGCGAAGATCACCCATAGGGAAGCCATTTTGTGAGCGTCGATCAGCTGCTAAAATTGTTGTCCTGCGAAGCATGGGTCCTGAAAATACAGGGAAGACATTTTGCGGAGCCACCAATCAGTTGTAAAAAACATCGTCTTGTGAACAAACGGTCCGGGAAGCATGGACTAAATCACCGTCCAGCACTATAGCGATCGCAAAACCTCATCGTCATGCAGATTTGTCATTTTCGAGGTTGTCTAACGAGGCACCACTGTACTTTGACTTGGATTCCTGCATTGAGCAGGGAGGTTAGACTCAATGACCATACAGGCCCCTTCCAGCTCCATTATTTTACAATAACGTATAATAGGATTTTGGCATTCATATTTAGATGGCTTTAAATACAAGATTAACTCCAAATCCTCCAAACAAGACAGTATTAACATTTAAACAGAAGTTTAATTTTATAATGGCATCATAATGCAGTCGCTATAAATTCAATTTTGTCAAAACAACTTCTTTACAGCAACTAAAGACAAAAATTGCATTATTTCTAACAAGAGCCAAACGTTTAACAGACATCATTATGGTGCACCGAACTGTCAGGGTCTCCGTTTCACAGTACTTCGAATTCTTAATGGGTCACTTCGAGTTGAAAAATATAAAATCACTCTAACGACTATATATCTAAGCTCACCCTACTTAATAAATCTATAAATTCAAGTTGTCTGCAGTGCAGGAAAATAAAATACACTGTAAAAATGAAGGTACGTGCAGCGAGATTCCACTGCCTACTGTTATATAAATCACGAGGAATTCATTTCAATATCTACTGAGTTACTTTATCCAACTGTAGCAGGATTTGGATTATAAAAGGATACAATTACAATTAATAGCAGAAAACTCATTCAGCCTGGACAATAAATATGCCTTTTAAAACACACTGTTACGTGATAGTATTTCATTAGGGAGAGAGTGATATTTACTATAATTAGAAACAAAAGTTTTAAAAAAGAAATTGTACACAGTACAGAGGGTTCAACCGTTTCTTCATAGATTATTCTAAAGGGATCGTTGTATTGCTAAATATAATACAAATATAAGAACTGGAGATAAGAAATCAATTCCTTTCCCACTTTTTACACCGATCCTCCCTCCCCACGGAGGCCAGCCAGGCCCCATCTCTGCTATCCTTCTGCAAAGCAGGCAATGTCATCTCCCTTCAGCCAGGTTCTTCCTTAAGGGTGGTCTAGGATAGTTTGCTGCAAAGCAGGCAATGCCATCTTCCTTAAGGGTGGTCTAGGATAGTTTGCATTTTGTTGCTTCTAACTCTGTTTTAGCAATGCATTTACGCAACACTTTAAAATAGAATATCATTCATTCTTTAATATTTGAATAATATGTGTTTTTTTAAAGCTTCTATCATTTTGTTTTTAATGATGTAAGCCACCTCAAGTCCTTTTTTAAAGAGAAAGGTGGGGGTAAAAGTATTTTAAATAAATAAATAAATAAAAACCAGATCCCTTTCATTTCAATTTTTAGTGATAGCTTGTTCCATTCCTTCTCAAAGGTAATGTGTGTGTGGGGAGGGCAGCTCCAAAAAGACAGAGTATCTCAAATTTTCGTACGCATTGAAGAAACTCCATTAAATTCCTTTGCAGCAAACATTTTTCAAAAGTCTGAAAATGTCTGATGCTTTTATCTGATCACCTTTTCACATCTTTCTAAATCAGAACTCATCACTGAGGTTTTTACTAACTCAACGTCTGACTATTTTTTTCTCTCTCTCTATCATCACATCACACAAAGTTTGCTGATAATAAACCCTTTAGATCTAATGCACCCAAGGAAAAGCAGCCTGCAGCCTGTTGATGGGCCCTCCTCTCTGCTTCCTCCCACTCACCATATACAGTTTGAGGCTACACATGACAAGTCATTAGGGCTTGCAAACTAATGAGCACCCTTTGACAAATGTCGCCACCCAGAGAGCATGCCGTCTTGAACCTGCTGCACGGACACAGGGGACCAGCTGACTCAGTCAATATATACTCATTACAATCTGACCGTGTTCAAAGGATATCACTTATAAGAACCCATTCAGGAACTTTTATAATGCCATTATACAAAACACTGGTAAGGCTGCACCTGGAGTATTGCGCACAGTTCTGGTTGCCGCACCTCAAGAACGATGTCATGGAAGTGGAAAAGGTGCAGAAACAGAGCGACTCAAAAGAGGACTGGGCTAGCGCATCTCCCTTGTGAGGAAAGGCAACAGCGTTGGAGGCTCTTGAGTCTAGAGAAAAGGCGCCTGAGGGGGGACATGATGGAGATCTATAAGATTATGCAGGGGATGAATCAAGTGGAGAGAGGGAAGCTCTTTTCCCTCTCACGCAATACCAGAACTAGGGAACATCCACTCCAGTGGAGTGTTGGGAGAGTGAGAACAGACCAAAGAAAAGATTTCTTGACCCAGC